TGGAATCACCTTTCCTGAGTGTCTGTAGCTGCACCGTCCCAGCTCCTGTGATTCCTGAACTGATCCAGACCATTTCCTCTTCCTGGTCATTTTGACTTCGTTGGAGAGCCGAGAGTCACACGGCACCAATCCGGTGACACAGGTGGTGAGGACGCTGCCATGGTTTTATCTATCAGAAGCTGCTGTAACTGGCTGACTGGTGAGGGATGGCCACAGAACATGGTGGGCGTTAACACAGACCATGCCTGTGTGCCCTGCCGTCAGCCCCTTCCAGCACACTCAGAGTGTGCACCCAGCCGGGAATGCACTCCTCTGACTGTACCACGGTAACCTTGTATTTATTTAAACAGTCACTGTATCTCTCCACCAACCCTTGCGGACTTTTGGACTTTCTCCTCATCCCCAGAATGAAGAGCATCTCCGCCAGGTCCATGGATGGAAGGGAACTGCTCTTCCCTTAAGTCTGTGTCTCTGACTGGACACGGTCAGGCTATTCCCCTCAAAGCTGCCTTTCTCAGCCTCTTCCCATGATGTGTGCTCCTCAGTAGTATCGGGTTGGTTTTGAGGCAGGGTCTCTGTGTAGCCCAGGCTGGCCACCCTGCCTCGGCCTCCTGAGCGTGGGGTTTACATTGTACTTCCCTGGTATCATCTTCAGAGGGGACACTGAAGTTGCAGTTGACACACAGTGCCGGGCGCAGGAGTTCGGGCCCCACCACTCTTTCCACGACTGAGGCATCCTCATGAGTGGCAGGTGCTGTGCGGTCCCTTCCTGTGTGTGACTGCGGCGGGCTCTGTTTGCACCTCCTTCCCCCGACCCACTGGCATGGCTGGAAGTGATGATAAAGGAAGAAGACACACTGCAGGTGGGGGAAGTGGACTATTAGCCTTTGAAAGTAGGAGCTCGTATGTGACAACCCGCTGAACGTTGGAAAGAGGAACGTTGCATTAAGACAGTCACCAAAAGACAAGCGCCACGAGTTTTCTTCCACAAGGCCCCTACTCCAGGAGGGTCAGAGCCAGGTGCAGCACGTGACCGAGTCCAGTCCAGCCAGAGACTAAGGCAGGAGGAAGGCTCAAAGCTAGAAATTTGAGACCAGCCTAAGCAGAAGAACAGTGGTTGCTAGGGACTGGAGCAAAGGAGAAGTGAGGAGTTGCCAGTCAAGGGGTGTACAGCTTCTGCTAAGCACAATGGATCCATTCTGGGGAGCTGCAGGCCGTCATCCTTAGCAGTCAGGGTGCTGTGATGTGTTCTTCCCCCAGGGGAGACAGGAAAGGAGGAGGGAAAGCAGGAGGAAGTCACACGCAGATGGCTTCCAGCTAAGTAGATTCAGACCAATGCAGTGTAAATGTTGGCGGAAAACGTCTCAGCACAGGGGCTGAGGAGGCCGGAATCTGCCAGCACTCTTCTATACCTATAATCCCAGCCCTGGGGAGGCTGAGGCAAGGAGGATGGTCATGAAATGCATGCCATCCTGAGTTACACAGAGAGTTCAGGGCCAGCCTGAACTACAGAGTAAAACCTAGTCTCAGAAAAACCAAAAGGCAGAGGTGGAAGAGGCTGAGGATGTAACCCTGGATTCAATACCCGGTGCTACCAATAACAGTAATAATACCCTTGGGAAGCCGTGGGCCACGCCAGCACCTTCCGGACTTGCTGACCGGACTGGGCCCTCTCCCAGGTCTGGCGTGGCCCACAGGGACAGCCTGGGAGCGGTGCGCTGTGTCTCTCCCTTCCGCCCCCAGCAGTCAGAGCTGTTCTCTCTCACCCTGCTGTAGGTGGGTATCAAACATTCTAAAGTTGTTTCAGAGCCAGATCAGCACTCAGGAGGCTGAGGAAGGAGAACCCCTATGCGTGGAAGGCCAGCCTGGGCCACATAGAGAGACCACGCAGAGAGTACTTTCAGAACCATGCTGTGTCTGCTTTCTTTTCTTTCTCCTTTCCTTAGCAGCTGCTGGGCTTTTGCTTTCTAACTTAGGCTCCTCTGGCCTTTACCATTTATTTCCTATTGTTTTCTTTCTTCCTCAAGGTATATGTAGCAAACATAAAATTTACTTTAAGGAGAAAAGATTTTTTTTTTTTTTTTTTAAGACTAGTCAAGTGCAGTAGTGAGAAAGGAGAAAAGATTTTATCTCATGCCTAGGTGAGTGTTTAATAGAAAAACAGATGAGCAAACAAAAAACCAGGAAAATGCCTTTTGTGGATAGGAAATCCACGGTCGTTACTATAGTACATACTGTTATCCTCTGAATAGTTGGTCAGACTGCCTGCCCCAGGCTTGCAATTGTTGTCAATCAGACAACACAGATGTGGGATTGCTTTTCTGCTTCAGTGATTGTCATCTCAGTCTGTGTCCTGTTTGGTTGCTTTGGGGGTGGGGTGTTGGGGTACCATAGGAGCATGGCTTACTTGCTGGTTCTTCCCTGTTTTTGGTTTCTTGAGACAAGGTCCCACTATGTAGCCCAAGCTGGCCTCAAACTCCTGGCGGTCCTCCTGCCCTAGCGTCCCAGCTGCTTGGGATCCAGGTAGGCGCCACCACCCCCAGCAGGTTTCTTTCTTAAAGTGTATTTGTTTCCCCAGAAGAGAAGGGATACAAGCTGTCACTCCTGGTCCAAAGCCTTCCAGGTTCATGGTTTCACTCAAGCCACGTCATCTCCGATCCCGGCCTAGGAAAGAGCAGAACTCGGCCCCTAGATGGTGCAGCTTCCAAAGACCTGGGGAATTTCCACCGGGAACATGGGGCCAACACCCAGAACACAGAAGGGCCACACATGTGGCCCCAATTCTGTTGCTGGGGCTCCAAATCCAGTGCCCTCCCTCTCTGGACCTTGCCAGGTAGAGAAAGAGGTCCCTCATTCTACTCCAGAGAGACATTCCCGCACGGCCCCCATGTGGTCCTGAGTCACCAGGCCCATGGGGGGCAGTGCTTTCCCTGCTGAGAATCACTGCCGCCCTCCCCCCATCATTTTGTAGCACCTGACAGAGCTCGGATGTGGAGCTGGAGTCGAGGACCATTAGCTCAGCATTTTCAGATGCGCCGGAAGGCCAGGTGCAGTGGCACAGGCCCAGAATCCCAGCTCTCAGGAGGCTGAGGCAGGGGGAGCACCACAAGTTTGAGGCCAGCCTGGTTTACACAGTGAGACTTCATCCCAAAAAAAAAAAATGATGTTAGAGAGAAAAGCTGTAGTCTCTGTGATAGCTCCTGGTGGCTGTCTCATTCTGGAATCTGCTGCATCATAATCCTACCCCGCAGTGGCCTCTTTGAATTTCAGGGTTGGCTTCTCCGCACATCTGCCAGTGCAGGGCAGGTCCCCTAGAGCACACTGCCTGGGCCACCAGGCCGCCCCGCCTCTGTGACCGTGCAGACTGTGCTCTCCTCTCCTGGCGAGGCCAGAGCAGCTCTCAGGGTGTTGGTGGCCACGGAAGAAGGGCAATTCGCTGCTCCTAGATCCCAGTCCTTCCGGTACATTGGAATCGACATGTCCTAGGCCATCAGATATATGGGCAGGGTCAGCCTCAGTTTACACAGCGTTGGCAGGAGCTGCTAATGTTGGAGCAAAGACTCAGGCACACCAAGGGCCTGCTGTGTGTGTGTGCGTGTGTGATGTACACAATTACCAGGGGTGGAACCCACTGCCCCATACTTTTTCCTTTGAGATAAGGCCTTGCTACATCAAACTGCCCAATAGAGAGCCCTCCTGCCTCAGCCTCCCAGACCGCAGGGAGTCCAGGTGGGCACCTCTGCTCCTGCAGAGCCCTGAACTCTGACCCATAGGATACCTTCTGTCTCTATACTATGCTTTCTCCTTTGGGGATGTCAAGAAAAGGAGAGTAGACTCATATAAGTAATTTTTTGGTTAAAGAGGAAAGGGATAAGCATCCCAAAGGTTCAAAATCAGATTGGAAAGAAACTAAACACACTTAGGCCACAAAATTCCTTGCCAGACAGGCTGCCAAGGGTGTCCCCAGGACGGGACCTGAGCTGTCTGGTGGGACCCATGCCACAGGGAAGGATGTGTCAGGTGTGTGTGGCGGTACACACCTGTTACCCAGCAGTAAGGAGGAGATCCTGAGGTATGCAGGGAGATTCTGTCTCAAAAGAACAAAAAACAAACACAGAAGGGAAGGGCGTGTAAATGCCGTGGTGCATTGACCGCTGGAGACACTGGGATCCTCCTAAGGCCTGGGTGTGATGTCTGATACCGCCTGGTATCCAGACTGCCGGCTGTGAGCACGGCAGAGCAAATTACCAGCACACTCTGGGAAACGCAGTTTCTTTCTCTTCTGTTTGCTCTCCAACTTGCAGGGAGTGGGCTGAGAAAAGGAGCCCTAGTTCCACCCTGAGATTGTACCGTAAGAGCAGCCTGACCAAGATGGCTTAGCAGATCTGCTCTCCTGCCCTTGGGAGGTCATAACCTGTGTCCTTTTGGTTCTGTCTGAGCAGGAGCCCCGGGGACACTAGGCCTGGGCACAGTGATCAGTACCCCACCCTGTCCCAGCTCATTCTAGTGCATGAGCCTGGCGCTGGCTTGTGCTTCTGGAGATGTGACCTGAGTGCAGACCTAGGCACCCCTATATCCATGCTGTAGAAAGCCTGGCCCACCTAGGCCTCCTGCCTGTCTCTGGGCGCCAGCGGTCAGCTCTGGCTAGCTCTTGCAGGGTGCGGACGGGTCTGGTGAATGCAAGGGTCCCTCCCTGCACAGCAGGCCCTGACTGAGCACAGCATCCTTGGGGGAAGGAGATTGGAAAACAGTGTTTCTCTCGGGAGCTTCCTGGATGGGATGGAAAACTCCAGGGTTTCCAAGGACTAGGCGCCGCAGTGCATGTTTTTCCAAGCTGCCTGGGTTTCCCAGGCCAGTGGAACAGAGGCAGCCCGTTCTGCAGGGTGGCGGTGGGGCACCATGGCTATGCCTAGGACAGTATGGCTTTCTCTCTGCTTGTTTACAGCCTGACCCCCGCCACCAGCCTCCTGTGTAAACTCCTCCTGTGTTTGCTTTTTCAGTTCTAGGGAAAATCCGAACTGCGGTGGGCAGTGCCCAACTCCTCATGGCGCAGAAATTCTACCAGTTCAGAGAACTGTGTGAAGAAAACCTGGTAGGTAACCTTCACGGTCACCCCTCCTCTGCTCCTGCAGGGCCTCAGAAAGAACTTGGCCTCCGGACTGACCCAGATGACGTCAGACTGGTTCTGAGCCTCATTCAGGTCCGGCCCCCACCTCACCTGGCTGGACAGATGACCTTGTTCCTGCTTATCTTCAAATGAAAAATACTCATCTCACGCTTACACAGTCTTAGGAAGAAAAACAAACCCTCCGTTTCCTATGTCTTTGTAACTGAAATTTTCCATTTTCCTGGCTTTCTCACGATAGCTCTGATTTTATTATTCTTAACCAAAATAAAAAGCAGCCTGACATTTCAGAAATCATATTACAAAGAAAACCATTTTGGATGGTGATTTTTCTTTCTGAAATAGCTGTCAGTGGCTATTTTCTAGTCAGGTTTTTGCTTTGATTCCTGGGACCAGAGGCCAAGGGTATCACAAAGCATGGATTTGATCCCCCTGAGAGAAATGAGTACTTCATCCTTCTTGGGCAATCAAAAATAAAAGAAAGCAAAATAAAGAAAAGGGTGACTACAGCAACAGCACTTCTAAAGCTGATTCCAAACTCAAAGGGCAGGAGCTTCCTCGGTTGAACTTTTGACATAAAAATTGCTGCTGGGGCTGGGGATGTAGCTCAGCAGGCAGACTGCTGGCAAGGCGCAGTCCTGAGTTCAATCCCCAGTACCCCCCCCCCAAAAAAAGAACACAGGCTTAAAAAGATTTGCTTCTGTCTCTACAATTGTAAACCCACAAAACAGCTTTCATGACTGAAGTGCTGTTCAAGTTCTAAAAGAAAGTGAAAGACGAGTTATTTGTATATAGAAAGTGTGAATGGGATCATTTGCAATCTGAATGATCTGGCACATGACGTTAGAGTCCTAACTCTGTCATCTGGGGCTTATGTCTCCCCCACAAGAAAGTTTGCAAGGACGGTCTAGAGGCCTCCGGGTAGAAGGGGACAGAAAGATATGAGTGTGCAGAGCCAGCATCTACTGTCCTCTCCCCCAGGCGTCCCTTTAGAGTGTCACGCACGCACACGCATGCACGCATACACACATGCATGCACACGCACACACTCCTGTGGTGAACACCTGTTAAGGGAGTTAAAGTCAGCACATATTTCACTGAGCTCTGCTGTGCGTCAGGAGCAGAAGTCTGCTAGCTTGTGGAGTGCAGAAGCGTCAGGGTCCTGGTTAACATCTCCCTCATTCAAGAAGCTTCCTTGTAGAGCTTGTCACTGTCGCTCGAAGCTGCCAGGAGGTGCCTGGGGAAGTCACAGACAGGGATCAGGTAGACTGTCCTTGAAAGAACTGCGTGATGGTGAGGCCAGTTTATTGGTAATTAGAAAGTAAATGTGCAAATTGTAAAGATGGAATTGCAGACTACGTTTTCTTTTCTTTTCCTTCTTTGTTTTGGAGACAGGGTCTCACTCTAGTTCAGGGTGGCCTTGAACTCACCGTGTAGCCCAGGCTGACTCCAGCTGTCGGCAGTGCTCCTGCCTCAGCCTCCCTAGTGCTGGGATGACAGGTGTGGCCGGGCCACAGGTGGTGGAAGCTCTGCTGCTGGCTAGGAAAGGTGAGCCTTGTGAAGCCAGCTGTTGCTGCGCCAGCTCCTGTCAGCTTATGTGTGGCCTGGCTGGAGACGCGAAGAAAGTCCTAGAGAAGCTCGTGTGGTAAACTGGGAGTCGCTGTCAGAGTGGCCTGCTGACCATTCTGTCATGGCGCTGTGAGCACAGCAGTGACGTGTGCTGGTCCCTCCTGTGCTGTGGAAAGGTCAGCAGCTCCAAGAGCTTCCAGACTCTGAGGTCAGAACTCAGCATGACGCAGTGCAGAGGGACATTTACAGAGGGACACGGCACGGGCAGGTGACGCCACCCCCAGGCTAGCCATGCTCAGTCCCGTCTGCTGCCCCTCAGGGTGGCCTGCTGGGGCTCCGCTTGGGTCTGCAGCCGCCTCACAGCAGCTGCAATTGCTCAGAAAGCGCCCACTGTGGGAAGGACCCAGCAGCAGCTCTCCATGCTGGGCGCACATCCTCGCAGGCTAGGTTCCCTGGCTGAGCCTGGAGGGAGCCGAGGTGGCTTTTCCAGGGTGCCTGGCCCCTAGCAGCCCCCTATCCCCCTAGTTGAGGGGAGGAGCGAGTGCCACGCCTCCTTGTACAGGGTCCCTTTGTGAGCCTCAGTGGAGGACCACTGAGCACCCACCCTCGGTCCCTCGGTGCGGGAACAGGGACTCCTGGGAGGCAGCGCCCTGGCCGTGACACAGGCACACTCAGAGGTCACCACAGTGATGGTCTCACCAAACCACAGTGTGAGCACCACCAAACAAAACCCAGAAATCAGGCAGGCCCCACACGCCGAACCTCCGGGCACTGGCGGAGCAGCACTGCAAGTGGAAAATTCTACATGGGCCTCATGTGGCAAATCCAGCCACAAGGCAGGCTGGCAGGGGAATGGGGTACAAAACATTAAGGAATTAAGGGTCTCAATGGGGTCTCATCCCTAAAATATATACATAAATATCCAGACAGGTAGATGATGGGTAAGTGATGGATAGGTGGATGATGGGTGGGTGGATGATGGGTAGATGATGGATAGGTAGGTGATGGATCAGTAGGTAGTGAATAGATGATGGACAGATAGAGGATGGATGATAGAGACGATGGTGAGGCAGATGCTCTAGAGCCCTGTAAAGTCCACAGTCCCAGCCTGCTGCCTGGGAGTTCCAGGTGGGGCCTCCACCTGTGTCCACCCTTGCCCTGGGGTCCTGAAACAGTTTTGCCATAGAACTGGTGACCCAGGCAACTTCCCCAAGCCTCAGAGTAGAAGCAGCTGAGTGTTTAGTGACCAGGAAGGCCACATGTCTGGGAGAGGGTGAAAGGGTTTGCCAGGCCCTGGGCCGGAGCTGTCACCTGAGTATCTAAACGTGGAGAAACTGTCTTCTGTTGTTAGCGCAGTCCAAGTGTCACAGAGAAGCCCTGTCAGTAGTTCCAGTGTGGTGAGAGCTGAGGCTTTCTCAGTGCTCGAGCAGAACCCAGGGCCCTGCACACCCTGAGCTGCCCCCGCCCCCCGCCCCCACCCACGCCTGCGCCCAAGGGTGGGTTTTAGTACTGAACCCAGCACTTACAGGTTTGAGTGATTATTTCTCACAGAGACGAGTTTCTGGATTATGGGTAGTTTTAGAACCATCCATGTATAAATACATCTCAGTCGATACTTATTTGAGCCAGGCCAATGACATCAGTGCAGCTAGGAACTTCTCGTAGTGCTTGGTTTTCTTTCCTTTTTGTCACCCATGTGGACTGTGGTTATTCCTCTCGCAGAGTTTGTGCATGTCCCTAACCATGCTGGATTCCTTTTGTGCCCTTGCCTCTCAAGTCCCCTCCAACTCTTGGTCCCCTTTCCATTTAGAAAGGACTCCCTACTTCCTGTTTTATTCTGTACTTCATTTATATTTTGGGATTCTCATGTGAGAGAAACCATGCAATATTTAAAGCTGTGTGTCTGATGTATTTCATTTAACACGATGGTCTCAAATCACTGGAGTCCATCCCTATTCAGGACAAAGTAGTACTCCATTGTGCATAAACACCACATTTAGGGATTTGTCCTAAAAGCACAAACTGGCCTATATTATTATTTGACTGAGGCTTCCTAGTCTAGTCCATCTAGGTACCTGGAATCCAAGAGGTGACCGGAAGCGACAGGGGCCAAGAGCTCCTGACCATGAAGCACCTCCCTCCCCTACCATGTAGCCTGAAAGCTTAAACCACACCTGCAGCCTCGAAAGGCAGGGACCCTGACATCCACAGAAGTGAAAGTTCGCCCTTTGCATCACCGGAACTGTGCAGATGGGGATCCAGATGGTCAGTGCTCAAGTACCAGGCGACACGGTGCTGCACACCGTCTCCAAGTGACTGCTCTAAGCAGCCTGGGGTAAAATGGCCCTCAGCCTTGGCTTCTTAAATGCATCATATTGGGAGTGGGGGTGTGCATTAGTGGCAAATTGTGCGACTCACGTGTGCAAGGTGCTGGGTTCCATCCCCAGCACCCCTCAAAATTACAAGATTTTGAAAACTGTTTTATTACGGACCATGCGTTTAGTAAGCATTAACCTTAGTGTGGCAGCTAAGCTGAATTCAGTCTTCTGTTCTGTGGGTAAACTGAGATACCGGGTCAGACTGCATGTGCCCGCAGCAGTGGTTCCGTCAGGCCTGGGGCAGGGAGGGGCGCCCCACCCGAGGTGAGGACACTGTGGGGGCTTGCATCGGGACCCCACCCCGCCCGCTGACCAGCCCTCCCTACCTCGAGAGGGAGGACAGCCAAGGACTGCTGACTCCGCCAGGAGGCCTTTTGTGGCCTTGTTTGTGTCTCCTGTCTAATCGCCAGGGAGGCTCCTCTCCCCACAACGCAGGGAGCACGGAGCCCCGTGTGTGGCCTCGGCCTGCCGGTCCCTGCCCGTCCCTGCCTGTCCCCCACCTCTGAAGCTGCCTGTCTCTCTCTTCCGCAGAACCCCAGTGCTCACCCGAGACCCACCTCCCAGGACCTGGCCGGGTTCTGGGACATGCTGCAGCTGTCCATAGAAAACATTAGCATGAAATTTGATGAACTCCATCAGTTGAAGGCCAATAACTGGAAACAGACGGATCCTCTTGACAAGAAGGTAGAACAATGTAGATTTTGTATGGTTCACTTAAAAACCTGCGCCAACCCCGGACCAGCTAAGTAGGCTTGGCGGCCAGTCCTGCTGTTTACAGTGTGAAGTGGAGCTGATGCACATTAACCGCATTGTAACGACAGTGTTTACACAGTAACCGTTTGGGATATTATCTGTAATATGTTTCAGGCATATTTTTTAAAGAAAAACCTGTCTTTGTGAATTGGAAAAATGGGAATGTGGCCTTTTTTTGTTAATTAAACTTTAAGTTAAACCATTTTAGTCACTGGAAGGAACTGCCTGCATTTTGCTTTTTAAACTAAAATAAATGGCAACTTCAGTACGTGATTCCATAGAGCAAGAGTTCAACTTCCTTACTCCGTAGGACGTGTTTCCGAGAGAAACAGGAAGTCCTGAGAAATAATTGATTTGATAATCATTTCATAAATAGAGTAATAAAGAGAGACGGTGTTCAAGTCTGAAAGCATACACCATGAGGTTTCACAGTCATCAAAAAGGTGGGAATTTCTTTAAAAAAAAAAAGCTACACCTTGGTTGGTTTTGCCTGGGGGGGCTGTTGCTCATGGGGTCCACATGCAGCAGGTTAGAGATAAAGACTCAAATCTCTCTATTGCAGTGACCCAGCACAGTGTCCCCTTCCAGGACTGTGGTCCCACCCACTCCTGCAGGCGCCCCACACCCGGCCCAGGCTCCCCTGTGATGCCTGACTTTGTTTTTATGCTCTGTGCCCTCCCGTGGCCTGGTCGTTCTGAGAAAGCCCACCTCCTGCCATCTGGTCCCTTGGTGCCGGCGGCCCTGCCTCTTCCAAAGGCTGAAGGCCACCTTGGCCACCTCAGCTGCCGTCAAGGCATGAGGACCTGGGGCTCAGTGGATGGCAGGACACCGACCCCAAGGGTATCCCGGTCCCCACTCCGGTTCTGTCACCACCGTGGTGGGCTTTCAGGGTTCGGTGTGATAGCACAGCTGATGCGGGGCCCGGGGTTGGGGCCCAGCTTTGTTGACCTGTGTGTGAAATCACCTGGCAAGGCTTTTCACCAGGCCTCCTGGTAGGAAAACCCCAGTTCCACACACTGGCAGTTTCCGAGCCCGTCCGTCCTATTCCCCGCTTCGATTGCCTAAACTCACTGTTGAAAGTAAACCCTGCAAAGAAGGAAGATGCCCAGAGTTCCCAGTAGTCACACATTCCAAACCAGCCAGGGACCCCACGGTGAAGACCTAAGTGTCTCAGAGAAGGGCGCTGAGTGCTGGAATGACGTGTGAGGCGCGGGCTGCAGCCGCGGGCAGCGGCCCACCTGACGGGGAGGGAGGTCTGGAAGCGCGTGTGGCTGTGGCCCCGGTTTTCATCATCCCTTGAGCCCAGAGGAGAGACCGAGTGGCAGGGTCCTGTCACACTGGGGCTCTGCTCCTCCCTCCAGTCATCCTGACTCCGCCTTCAGCCGCTGGGCAACCCCCGGGTCAGACGCAGCCCCCCCCCCACTCCGTCCAGGTCCTGCGAGGAGACACACTGTGCGAGGCACCCATGCAGGGTCAGACTCCCAGTAGTACCCTGTTCCCTTTCACTGGCGCTCAGGGTGCTTTGTGTAGCATGGGAACGGGTTTCTGTGGACTATGGCGCAGGTTGACAGCTCGACAGCTTTTTCTAAAAACCCCTTGCGGTCCAGCTGCACCCGCCCTGCTGATGCCCCTTCCTGCAGAGCTGCGGACCACCCTGCTGCCTGGTGCAGAGAACACCTGACTGCTGACAAGCAGGGCAAGCCCAGGGACCAGGCTCCATTTCCATGGTGCTGTCTTTGTGCCTGGTCTTGCAGGGGCCTTTGGGGCCCCAAAGCCACCCTGAGGCACCTGTGCACCACTGCTCCTGGAAGGGCCCCTTAAGAGCCTCCCTGGAGCAGGAAGTCCCAGGGTCCCCATTCCACGTACCCAGTGTGTCCCTGTGTCTGTGGGTGCCACACATAGTGGCCTTGGACAGCTGAGGACAGCCCATTCCCTCCTCTAGGGACAGGAGGCCAGGTAGCCCCAGGAGAGGAAGGGCGGGGCTTGCAAGCTCTGAGCCCTTCTCTGATAGCTGACCACTTAGAGGGGATCCTGAGTTCTAGATCCTTCTGCAGGGGCATCCCTGGCCCTGTCCTGTGCTCATCTGCCAAGAGAACCACACTTGTGTGCTGGGAACCCCAGCCTTGGGCAATGGGTACATTTTAACTTTATCTACTTATTTATTTGGATTTTTGAGACAGAGTCTCACTATGTAGCCCAGATGGGCACCCTCCTGCCTCAGCCTCCCCAGTGCTGGGATTTCAGCATGCACCACCATGCCTGGCAGGAAGGGCTGCCTTGTCTGCCCCCATGTCCTGCACTTGGAGAGACTAGTTCCACAAGCCAGCCGTAAGTTTATGGGATTTCTCCCTCTCCCCTTTACATCTTTTGAATACCCAAATAACGAAGCAAACTTAGAGCTATGCCGGTGCAGGTCAGGACCAACCACCCCAGTCTTGAGGACAGGAATTGTGTGTGCGTGTGTGCTCCACCTCCTGACCTGTCCCAGTCCTCCCCGCGCTTGTCCTGAGAAGCTGTGTAATGTCCTGAACCTTCTGCTTTGATCAGGAGAGGAGGGCCCCTCCTCCAGTGCCCAAGAAGCCGGCGAGGGGCCCCGCGCCGCCGCTGACCCGGGAGCGCTCGCTGGAGAGCTCGCAGCGCCAGGACGCCCGCAAGCGCCTGCTGGCCGCCAAGCGCGCCGCGTCTGTCCGCCAGAGCTCGGCCACCGAGAGCGCCGAGAGCATCGAGATCTACATCCCCGAGGCGCAGACCCGGCTCTGAGCGCAGCCGCCGCCGGCCCCGCGACCCTCCCCGGGCGCCCCAGCCACCGTCCTCCCGTCCATCCACCGCCGCACCCCTTTCTGTTCGGGCCGCGCGTAGCGAGGCCGCCCGTAGGTCCCACCACCCTCGTCCTCTCCAGCACTTAGTGTGTTCCTGCCGCTCAGCAATATCAGCCTAGGGTATTCCAGAACCCCAGTACCGCGGGGACCTCCGGGACTCACGTCTTCCACGGCAAGATGACCGCGGCTCCGACCCCTTCCCTTCCTCCTAAGTGGTCATTCTTTTAAATAAACGCAAACAAAGCGGAGGGAGCACTCATTTCCAGCCTCAGAAGGAAATCACAGCATCTCACCGGCACGGAAGGAGGAGGAGGGCCAGAGAGAGCCAGGGACAGAGCTGGGCGCCGCCCGCCGGGGTGCAGGGACGCCCGGCCTCTCTCAGCTGCGCACACGCCTCGGTCACCTTCATCCACACGGCTTCAAATGTTTCAATCAGCAGAAGATTGTAAATTCGATCCTTCAGGGAAATTAATCTATTCCGAAAGGCAATAAAACGAAGACAGGCTAAGCCAAGGAGGCGTCGATGGTTTCAGATACCCCAAGGGTTTTGTTTTTCGATTTGCTTTGTTGGGTTTGGTTTGGTTTTGGTCCTAGGCTTCAGAGAAGCTGAAATGCTCTGTCACCTTCCATTGTGCTCTGTGTACTCTGCTGTTGTGGCTGCGATGGCTCCCCAAGGGCTCGGGTGGGCCTGCCGGGGGGGCCTCTGCTTCGAAGGGCTTTGAAGGGGAGAGCAGGGTTTCCTGGCATCCCTGCGCACTACACAGGACCCACGCGAGCCGTGGCCCCCAGCTGCGGTGTGTTCCCGCCCCAGCCTCCACTTCCCATCCCTCGGCGTCCACTCTTCCCCAGTGTAGGAGGCCATCCCACATCAAGTGGATACTGCCAGCTTGCTGACCGAGCGAGCGGACACGCTGTGTCCTTCAGGAGGCCACCACTGTCCCCGGGTTCCAGGCAGTGGGGAAAGAGATTTGCCCCACGGGGTCAGCAGGCAGGCAGACAGGGGCGTCAGGGCTGATCAACACAGGAGAAACCTAGGTTTGGGGTACAGGGTGTTGGCTTGTGTTTCTGATCCAGACTTGCAGGCAGTGTGCATCGGTACCTAGATGGTGTCGTCTCTCCCCGCCCATGCTCCTTGAGGCAATTTAAACAGTATATGGTGATTTTAAAATGTCACTGCATTCTCTGTCAAGCTCATATCCTAAACTTCACCATCAAAAAAGGAAAGGTTTAAAAAAAACATAACATCAAATATGCTTGCACCAGAGAAACTTTTTTTTTAAATACACTCTCCTAGCCCGGTGCTAATTTCAGTTTATTTATGAAATTAAGAAAGGCGATGGATTCTGGAGACAAACATTTCTCACAGACCTATTCTGAAACCACTAGAGAATCCGCTACCTCTCAGAGCTATGGAGGCTTTGAGCTATCTTTATCAACAGGGCACAAATGTTTCCTGCTGTGGTTTACAAGAAAAGGGCTACTCATTTATTTCAAAACCAACTGACCAGATCTTCAGGAGGGGCACAAAGCGCCCTGCAGTGCTTGGCACAGCTGGAGCAAAAAGACTGAGTATTTTGCTAGTTTCGGAAAAGAAAAAAGAAACACCCCTTTTCTTTACCTGTGGCAGCAGTGGAAGGGTAGCAGAGTGCTTGGAATTGGGCCGACTGTGACCCTGGTGGCCGCCTCCGGCCACCTGGACTCCTGAGAACCACCAGGAACTCATGGGGTCACCGGAAGCAGCGCCCCCAAACCCGCGTTCCCTGCTGCCAGCTCTGTGCCCCGAGGCTCAGCTGAGCCGTAGACTAAGAAATCGATTCCTAGTGAGGTTCCAGAGCGGCCAACAATATCTTCTTTGGAAACTGATGTAGCCCAGGATATTTTAAAGAGAGACAAGAGAAGGCCTATTTATCTTGTCTAAGGGAACGGTATTTATATATTCATAAGCTATTTTTGGTAAAAATTTTAAACCTTTTAGCCAAACAGCCTGTAGGGTGTCATGACCTTTGCCTTCCTTGAAAACAGTTTAAATTGTACAAACACTTTATAAAAAGCTAATTATGGATGTTAGACCACGACCCCACACCATGCAGCTTGGTAACCACTGGAGCCCTAAAACCCAAGTCCATGAGCATAAAGCCTTTGTTACATTGTTCTTTTTGATGTAATTTGTAGAAATGTTTTTTAGTTCACAATGGAAAATGTACCTACCCTGAAAAATTACTTATTTTGTTTAACTTTGGTATAAAGGTGACGGGCATTTTTGGGGGGAGGGGGGATTACACAAAAGAAGTTTGCCGCCCATATCAAAAAAAGGTCAAAGAAATTAAGTATTTATTATATTTTTTGCAGATGTTTCCATACAATTCACATAATCTTTTTGTAAAGAGAGATGAAGAAATGGATTAAAGATTTTTAATATTTGAAATGGTAAATAGAACTAATTTATTTGTAATATATTTCTGTTATTTATAGATGTTTCCTTAATGTTTTACTGTGCATTACCACTTTAATTTAAGCCTTATCCTTGTGAATTTACCATTTCTTTTTTAAAACATGTCTAGATGCATATTTTAAATAACTGGAATGTAAATCACTAGCATATCTGAATTCCCAAATGTAATTTTTAAAAATTATTTTGGTTTGGAAAAAAAAAAGATTCATTTGCAAGCCTTCAGGTGGAGGAGTGGTAACATTTTTATGGCTTTCTGAGTTGGAATTTCATAGGCTTATTTACCTAGACTGTGTGTGGGCAAAAACAACTGTAAATAGATAAATGTTTCCCATAATGTAAAAAGAAGAAATTAATAAAATAATTAATGCACTGCTTTCAGGTCTGTGTGATTTCACTTGACTCCCACTTCTTCTAAACTCTGAAGAATTCTTTGGAAGGGAATAGTTAAGTGACTAAAAAGCATTTATCCCAACGTTCATGGTGTTTTTTTGTTTTGTTTTTGTTTTCGAGGTGTGGTCTTGCTACATAGTTCAGGGTGGCCTTTAACTCACTATGTGTGTAGCCCAGGGAAACTCATGACAACCCTTCTGCCTCAGCCTCCAGGGTGCTAGGATTACAAACGTGCACACCACACCCAGCAGAAATGCTCCTCACTGGCGTGCAGGTGGGGAGAGATGATGCACCCGACTTAGGGGATTGCAATAGGGAAGATCCGAAAAGACTCCATAGGGCTTTACAACCCCGCAGGCCTGGAGTGAGAGCCGGCTGCCCGGGCGCAGACCCCGGATCCTTTACCTGCATGGGTTTCGGTGCCCACTGTGTCCCCCACGGCTCCAAGGGTGCAGAAGCAGTGCTGCCCCCAGGGATGGAACTCTGCCCGCTGGGCCGGGCACATCCCCTGTGCCACAACTTGAACAAGCAAAGAGCATCAAGCTGAGCTCCTGAGGCCCGGCCAGGTAGCCCTGACACAGTGGACGGCTCTGCACTGGACACCAGGCCTCCCTCGGCCCCTTTCAGAGCCATCACCATCACTCTCCCCGTTATCTGCGGCTGTCAGGGTACCCTTGGTCACAGCTGCAAACCCCACTTGATCCACAAAAGCACAGACTGAGCAAAAATGGCCCACAGGGCTGCTCAGGAGGTGGACAAGGGTGGCCCAGCTCCATCCTGGGGCCGTGGCCAGCAAACCGCTCTTTGTGATTTGTGCCCGTGAGCCTCACCTGTGCCAGTCGCCAGGGCAACACCAACTGCTTCAGAAGAGGCCTGACCAAGAGACAGAGTCCGCCTCACTTCGGGCACGAAGGCTGTTTCTGTAGTGGGACCCAGGGCTGTGGGTCTGGCCTCTCTGCTGATGGACACTGTTTCATCGGGATCTCACCCTCGGCATCTCACCCTCCCCCAAAGGAAATGAGCTGAATTCCGAAATCTGATTCTCAGCAAAGATATTTTCCATGGGGGGTGGGGGGTGGGAGTCCCGTACCCCAAAAGTGTACGTCTTTTTGAGACACGGTCGCACTATGCCATTTCGGCTGGCCTTGAGCTCACCTTGTAGCCCAGGTAGTCTCAAACTTGCAACGACCCTCCTGCCTCAGCCTCCCTAGTGCTGGGATTACAGGTGTGAGCCACCGCCACATGTAAGTTTTTTAAAAGAAATGGAACAGAACAGTTGGCTCTGAGCCTTACATTTTTTTTAATACCTTTGAAGTCCATCTTTGAGAATACAAGTCTATTTAGATCTCAATAAACAACTTATGAAAACTCGTAGCGTCTGTGTTTGTTCTCGATGGCCACTGATCCTAAACAGTGTGGGGATTTCCCTCTGACGGCTGCATGCAATGTCTGACATCAGTTTGCATGCAGACCCGGTGGCCCTGTGTGCAAACCCTCTCCGTCTGCTCCCCCACAGTGTACATCACCAGCACAGGTCTAGACTTCCCCACCCCTGTGGCGAGGGACGGTGCCCTTTTGGTGTTGAATTTTCCTGCTCAGAAAATTGCAGGAATGTGACGCCGGTGCACTCCCTGTGGTGGGTGCAGACAGCCATGGTCATCTCCACACATCTTCCATGTAAATCAGTGCAAGCCTGAGCTGGAGAACGCAGCTGGATGCAAGGGAGTGCTTTAATAAACACAGAAGGCCAGTGGCACCCTGTCCCCAGTGCAGCCGTCCCTGCCCCCTCACACCTCCCCGTCCCATTTCCAGCCAGTCCCAGGGGGACCGAGATGGTGACTTCGCCTGGAACCGTGACCAGTGACTCTGTCCCTGGGGAGTGGTCACTGAGAGCTCCAGGAAGGGGGTGGCCGTGGGACAGGGACGGGAAATAGCCAGAGCCACCACCCTGTTGCCACCTACACGGAGATAAGCAGAACCTAGGGAATTGGATCTGCTCCCCGCTGTGCCTTGAGGGCATCAGCAACGACACATCCTTGTCCTCCTGCATCCTGGCTCCCCTCCTCTCCAGTCAGAAAACCCCTCTGAGCCTCACCCAGACGCTGGACCTCCTGCCTCAACTTCCACCAACTGTGGATCAAAAACACACAGTGTAAACTGGGCGTGGTGGTGCACTCCTGTAATCCCAGCACTCAGGGAGGCTGAGTCAGGAGAATTTATACAAATTTGAGACCATCCTGGGCTACAAGGCAGCCTGACCGGCATAGTGAGATTCTCTCACAAAAAGACAAAAACAAACAACAAAAACAAAACCAAAACAAACAAAAACCCCTGCAGCATGGGCTTTTTCACTCAGTCCTGAGAGAGTGGGGTGAGCTGGGTACTCACACGTGGTTTACACCGTGTTAGGTGCTGGGAGTCATCTAGAGATGAGGCAAAGGAGATGGGAGGAGGGGGGCAAGCGGGCAATAAGCAGAGCTGCCCCATTTTATAGAAAGGACTTGGACACCGTGGATTTAAGTACCTGGTGGGGCCCTGCAGCCAGTTCCCATGGGCACCGAGCCTGCAGACAGCCACTCCCATCTTTCTCTTGCACACTCTCTTTCTTTGTTTTGTTTTGGTACCCGCCATGCAGCCCAGCCTGGCCTCCGCCTGCCTCAGCCTCCCGAGTGCTGAAATTATAGGCGTGCACCTCTGTGCGCTGCTCACACCATTTCTAGGGCTTCTAAGTCCAGTGCTCAGAAATGTAGCAGATACCACGCATGGCTTCATAAAGCATGGTTGGGGAAACATCCCCCCAAATTAAAATAAAACTTCTCCTGACTGAAAACAGGAGGTCTTGTGTAAGGTCTGTTAGTCTTGGTGTAGAAAGTGTGCACTTATGTGTGTGACACTTTAAAAAAAAATTGATGTGTCACACACGATTGCCCTCCAGAGCAAGACCTAGTGGCTTCTTTAGTGGTCTACTCGCCTTACCTTGCTGGGGGTCCCCTGCTCTCTTCTAGCCCTTGAGCTGGACAACAGACAGGGTGAGGAGGGGACCTCCCTTCCCTGAGGCCCAGCTTTGTCCCTAGCACTGAGGGTCCTGGGTGCCACCCTGCAGAGCAAGTGTAGACGTGTGGAGCCAAGCCAGAGGTTGCCTGGGGTGAGCTGCTGGCCCCCACATTGTAAACTGTGGCGAGGGCATGGGGAGGAGGTCTTCAGATGATTCTGGGTGACTCCAGGTGGCTCCATCTCACTGTGGTCCCGTGGAAGCCATGTCACCAGGAGGCCAAGGACTCCATTTTCCCTGCAGAGATAACACAGAGGAACTGGGTTAAATATTCGACACATGCACGCAGAGAACTGGGCTTAGACCTTAGAGCAATGCGCACTACAGAAACAACCAGGGCTTGACAGCCACAGGAACAGGGTATTCCCGGAGAGAAGCCCTAGACAGTGACTGCACTGTCACCAGGTTCCCATCTCCGGACACAGACCCAGGGCTGCCGTGTGACCGAGACTGCCAGGGGAGTGGAGGGCCCCTGAGGGCGTGGACCCCCTATGATGTGATCTGTTACCCATGCCTTGGGTCTTCAGCCCAAATGGATGATTCTCCAGCAGGGCGTCTGCCGGCAGCGCCAGGTTCCCAAAGTCAGGGGGAGAAGTCCCCACGTGCCCCTGCAAACACCAGGTCAGGTTCAATGTTTGCTCCCAGCTCCTGTGTGTTGTTTGTTGTTGTGTTGTGTTTTGCAGCTGGGACTGGACCTGGGACCTTTACACAGAGCTACAGCCCCAGCCCTTTTTAATTTTTATTTGAAACAGTCTCCCTAAATTGCCCAAATTGGGCTTCAGTTTATGACGCTCCTGCAGCAACTTCCAAGAGTGATGGGATGAGGGTTTGGTTTTGTTTCAAAACTCCACGGAGAAAAGCGCTTTGGAATGGACTTGCAGATGCAGTCAGTACCTACAGGATTGTGTTTATGGGTTATAATCCCACATGAGGGGATGTGCATGTTTGTTTTTAAATATTATCAGACTGCTTCCCGAAAGGGCTACACTGACCATCCCTTGGGACAGTGTGAGCACCGCCTTGCCCAACAGTGGGGCAAGGCATTCAGAGAGCACGCTCCAGGCCCAGATCGAGCCCCAGCCTGCACTCAGCCCCTGAACCAACCAAGGGCAGCAGTGAATTCAGAGACATACTAAAAAACCACCCAGCCTCCTCCAGCTGGCTCTCAACAGCACAGATATGGAAGGTTCTGGAAATATGGGCATGGTTTGAAGTCAGTCTTTTTTGTAGCTCCCAGAGGAGCACAAAGGCCCTGCAGTGTGAACTGCTCTGGCAACTGGGTGTGTCTGCGTCCACCTTGGGGAGAGGGTCTGCAAATCCTCCATGGTGGCTGCGCTCGGGGGTGGACAGTCAGGCTGCCCCAAAGTAGCACAGAACAGCATGAGTGACCTGTGGCTCCAGGGTAGAGCTCCTGTCTCCATGCACAAAGCCCTGCGTTCAATACCCAGCTCAGCCAAATCAGCAGGGCATGGTGACTACATCTGTCATCCCAGCACTCTGGAGGCTGAGGCAGAAGGATCGCAAAGGGCTGGGAACTCAGCTCAGGGTGAGGGCGCCGGGTTCAGACCAGACTGTGAGAAGGGGGCTGCGTTATTAAGTCTTCATTTCACCTGGAGCCGCTGAAACTCTAAAAGCCCTTTTGGTGCTCCAGGAGCCACCAAAACTGCGCAAATACTGCAACCTGCGTGTTAGCCCAGGGTCATTGCCGTCTGGCAAAGGACAGCCTTGCCAAACAAGCATGCAGAATGAGGGCGGATGTCCAGTCCTAAGCTTAGCGCTCGCTGTCTCCCTCTCTCTCCCCACTTTGTCCCCTCTCCCTCCTCTCTGCCTCTCTCTCTCTCTCCCTCTGTCTCTGTCTCTCTGTGTCTCTGTCTCTGTCTCTCTCTCTCTGTCTCTGTCTCTCTCTCCCCATCTCTTTTGAGACAGGGCCT